CTCCTCTCTCTGGCTGCAAATGCTGTGCCCCGTTTTTTTCCCCATGTTATCCCACAGGCACTACCACAATCACTGATGGGCTCTGCCTTGGCCAGCAGTGCATCCATCTTGGAGATGGCTGGCATTGGCTCTATCAGACACAGGGGAAGCTTCCAGCAGCTTCTCACAGAAGCCACCCCTGTAACCCCCCCACTAGCAAAACTTTGCCACACAAACCCAGTACACACCTGCAAAGTTTCTCAATCAAATGCCTTTAGTTTTTCAGAAAAATGGAGTATGGTCAATGAATTGTTCTGGCCAGAAGCTGTCAGCGTCCCTCGGCAAGCAACTGCTCCACATGCATGCCCATAGCTCTGTCCAAGCAGCCTTGCCGGCAGGGGGCTGAGCTGCCCTGAGATGTGGGTACCCTTCCTGGCTCTGGCGATGTGCTGGATAAGCTTGTGTTCCCTGTGCTACTCTCCCCAGCTGTAAAATGAGAGTAACGGTACTTGCCTACAGCTCAGTGGTTACTTTGCAGTAATGTCCACAGCCGTGGCTGGCTGCCATCAGTGTCAGCTGGGTACTTTGTCCCCCCATTGATGTTCAATAAGTGGTGACTATGGCCAGCTGGGAAGTTCAGCTTTTTCTTACAGCAGCTGAAAGTGCTCTGGTCTCACTGGCAAAACAGTGTGCTCAGGATGGTCATTGTTCTGTCCAGAGCTGCTCCCCACGCTGAAGATCTCCATAGCAGGTGATCCCAGAGGACGGTGATCCCACAACTGACACAGACATATAGGGTTATTTGTCACCAGTCATCTGTGCTTCTCCAGTTCAGTAGCCTTCTCAGTAGCAGCGCATCTTTTGTCTTGGAAAAGAATCCACCCACCTCACGTTAGGTTTCCTATCTGCCTGCTCCAAAGAGAAACCTTACATATGTGCCTGAGTAGGGATAACTAGGCAGAGCTGTCTTTCTAATCTGTTTCTTGTTTGTTTCTTAGGCCTCCTCTTATTTCTGCTGGGAATGGGAATCAACATTCACAGTGATCTCCTGTTGCGCCAGCTGAGAAAACCCGGGGAAGTCACTTACAAGATTCCTCAAGGTATATTCTTATCCTGCACCTCCTTGTAGAAGGTAGGGTAGCAGAACAGATAATGTTTTCTGACTGAATTTACAGCAAAGTGGCAATAATACCAGGGATGCCAGTATCGCACAGGTACTCGGTTCAGCTGCCCCTCTGAGCTGCAGGGACTAGCGTGAGCTGGCCACACGAGAAGCGATAAGAGTATCTGGGAAACATGAGCTGCGAGGAGAGGTTTTAGAAAATGGGCTGGGTAATTCAGAGAAAATTTAAGTGGGACATAGGAAGAGGATTTTAGTAAAAGGCAGCTGCAAAGAAGGAACTGTTTTTTCCATGCCTGGGAAGAAGTAGTGGACTTCTTACACTGCAAAAGGGAGATTCACAGTGTAAAATTTTGGGGAAAAAATAACACCAAGGATGCAAGGTGCAGAATTTCCTTTCTGTCTCCTTCAAGGTGGGGCTTGGTGAGGAAGAGTGGCTGTGGGACAGAGCAGTGAACCAGGATATGTCTAGCTCTGTAGAGCAATATGGATGGGGATCCAGGAGTTTCCTGGTTTTGGTGTTGACTCCTCCTGCTGGCTTGTTACAGATGGTAATATCTCTCCCCCAGAGTTTCTCACCTCCAATACTTACTTGCTTCTTGTAGATGTGATTAGCTAAGATGCAAAACTAAGATCCAGATTTTGCATTCTCCAAAGGTAGTGGAGTTGCAAAATGTTTTTTTAGAGCCTGAAGAGAATTGGCTAATGTTAATAATTTTGACTTAAATCTAATAATGGGCTTTCTTAAGTCATTTTCCAAATGAAAATAAATGGTTGTGAAAGCACTGGGAGCCTCTGAGTTAGAATCACCTTGTACTCTTGTACAAGAATCTTGTACAAGATCCTCCTCGAACTTTGGCATGGCTCCACTGGCTTCAGGGCAGTGAGTTTAGGTTGCTGTTACGGGCTCTGAATAAGAAAGGTAGCGTATTCTCCTGCTGACTTTATGGGAAAGAACTTTCCATGTGCATGAGATGACTGTAGAAATTACATATCTTGTCTGTCGATGCAGGGGGACTGTTCACCTATGTTTCTGGAGCCAACTACTTTGGAGAAATTGTGGAATGGTTTGGTTTTGCCATAGCAACCTGGTCCCTACCAGCCTTCGCCTTTGCATTTTTCACTCTTTGCTGCATTGGGCCACGTGCTTATCACCATCACAGGTATCAAACTGTTTCTTGCCATATGCTGCTGTTTGCCCTTGGAGTGCAGTTTGCAAAATGCCAGGAAGGGGTAGAGGAGCAGGGTCAGGATTCAAGACAAAATGGAAATTGAATACTATGTACAAGAAGTTTATCGGCTTATTTGTGACTGGGTGAAAGTAAGGCAGTCAGCTGGACGCCCTGTTGAGTCAAGCGGGCCTGACAGTCATTTAGTCCAACATGAGTTACATCATTGCTTCCGCCATGTTAAAGCCTCTTTTTATTGAGTTTTGTAAAGGTGAACCTTTCCTAAGGGTTCCCTTGCAACTCTGCAGTGCTTTGGAGTAGATATGGTCCCCTGCTCCAAATTCCTGAAGTTTCTACTTTAGGTCTGTTAGAACCTTAACAGTATTATCAGCTTTCATTTAATTAAATAACCTGGTGCAAATAGTTTCGTAATGCTCTTTTGCAGAGTAACACACAGAAGTTACAAAGCAAGGCAGTTTGGAGGAGTTTTAAGGTTCCTCTGCTGAGCTGTAATTGAAACTGTGCAGTTTCCTTGTATGTATGCAGGTTCACTCTCTTGCTTATTTTCTTTCAGGTACTATCTCAAGACATTTACGGACTATCCAAAATCAAGGAAAGCCTTGATTCCTTTTGTTTTTTAATGATTGAAATATGGACTCTGTGTTCTGTTTTTATAGGGCTTTTTTCAATTCCTAGTTTTAATGTTAGGTCTGACTATAATTGATTGTACAAATGATAACCTGGGGTTGTAAGAGACAAGAAGGTAATTTGGAACTGAAGTTCTTGTTTTTAATTACAGGGGAAATTGCAGATAGTTGTGGGCAAAGGGACTACCCAAACGACACATTTGCTTGTCAGTGGAGTTCTACCTATGAAAAATGGATATGTAACTGCACTGACATCAGAGAAAAAGCATTGGCTAAAAAGTGATGCAGAAAAGTAGAAAGTAAGCCCATGACTTCAGAGAAAGTCTTCAGCAGTGACTCCAATTTATAGCACTTCTGCAGCTGCTTCTTCCTGCTTCCATGCCACAGCACACATGCCCTCGCTCTGCTGGCACTGCCCTAGGTGTTGCCACACTTTAAAGGGGAGTAGAGGTCTCCTTGGCCAGGAAAATAGATCAGCCCATTATTTTTCATCTAAAAGCCAGCTTAGCTCCCAGAACCATAATGCAACAAGAGGATACTTGTGCTGGCACAAGGCTGGGAGCAGTGTGCCATGTCAAAGAGGCGATGCGAAGTACGTGGAGATGGAAGTATCTTAAGCTGGCACTCACAAGCACAGTACCTGTGTTCCTTCCTTAAGCAGTACTCTCCTCACTGTCAGATGATTAATCTTCAGCCAACAGGGTTTTTTTAAAATGTACTTTGTTAAAGCAATTGCAGTTCCATTAGGATTTTTTTTTCTCTTGCAAATCCAGGGCTCTTTTCAGAATAAAAATTTGTCCACTCAAAAACACTCAATTGTTATTCATAAAAAGACTTGAGATGATGATGTGTGACAAAAACTACAACAAATAAAAAGCTCTGTGTTGACGAAAATGTTCTCCAACGCTGGCAGTACATTTTGTCTATGGCGAACATTTTCAGATACTCGTATTAGGTATACAGAGATACTATTGAATTTTCACAAAAACACAAGATGTCTCTTCTTAATTTCAGAATATAGTTGGGAATTTTCCCAAAAGTGTCATTAACTCAGATTAGGAAGAGATGTCCCCACAGATGCTGATAGTTGTAGTTACCCTTTAGAGCATAAAATCCTGCTAATAATTATGCTGAGTAGCTGGAAAGAAAAAGACCAGACCACACATACTGAACATACTACCTGCTGCTAGAGTGACTTGACTGACTGTACACAATTTTCTCCTGAACATAATAAAACTTTTGTAAAACACAGAGCTGTGCTAGCCTATAACTTACTGTTTGCAGAAACAAGCCTCTGTGACATTGCTTACCAAGTCCTGCTCCCGCTGGCTTCTTCCTTCTGGGCAAAGTTCTTTGCTCATAATTATTAATTGTCTTTATTACCGTCAAGCAGAGCAGGCAGCTGAGGCTGGGTCCCATCGCACTAGTCCCTGCACGGTGCACAGGAAGGCTGGACCCTTTGCCATGTGTAGGCAAAGGATGAAATAAGGCACAAGCAGAGCTCTTGTTGCATGAGCCGTGAATGTCACATCAGCGCCACAAACGTATTTTCCTTTCCTTTCCTTATTCAAATCCTCCATGTGGAAACACGCTGGGAAGGGGATTGCTGGGTGTGAAGTCAGGGACAGGAAGGCTGGAGGCGACGAGGATGCCAGGCGGGAGCGGAAGCCAAGCGTGAGCAGCAGCCATGCTCCCCAGAGCTCCCCGCCTCAGCAGTCCCTCCTTGATGATTCCTCCTTGTGCTTTTTGCCTCCAAAGCCTTGCAAGTGATGAGAGAGCACATGGCCCGTGAGTGCCAGTGTCCCTAGCTGCTGCCTCCTCTATCTACCCCTGAGCCAGGGAGAGAGCAAGGACCAAGCTCTACCTCACGCTTTGGACCAGAACGGGTCTTGTGCAGACTTCTCTGTCCCTCCCACCTACCCCACCCTGACAGAACAGGACTATTCCATGCATTTATTTTGTCTTGCTTAACATTTGCACCAGATGGACCGTTATTGCCACTGTCGGTCCCAGGCCCAGATATCCACTGCAAGGAGCCAGGATCAGGGTGGGAGAACTGGTGCTGGCCCAAGGCAGGAGATGGCCTGCCTGCAGGCCGGGGGTCCCCGCAGCCTGGCACCCCTGCACCGGCCAAGAGCAGGGTGCCTCGAGGTGCTGGATGCCTTGCAACAGCAACTCCATCCTGTCTGTCCGGGGCCTTGGATATGTCACGTGGAAAAGGGCTGCAGGCAGGAAAGGAGCACGTCTTCCTTCTGTCCTCTCCCGTGGCATTTTTGTAGAGCAGGAGGGACATACGTGCGCTTCAAGCCCCCTACAAGCAACGATTGCAGTTAATTGTGATGGAGAGGAGACACGGGCTCTTCCCACGTCGAGCTCCTCCGTGGGGCTGGTGGCTGCTTGCCCTCCCTGCAGGGACACCAGCCTGGCCCACTGAGCACATGAGTGCCCCAGGGCAGCACAGCTGGGGCCACCATGCTCCTGAGAAATTTCTTTCATCATCCCTTATTTTTATAAGGAAAAATATATTCCCCTTGTCTCTGGGAGAAAAACCACAGCAGATATTTTCATATCCCTCTGCTCAAGCCTCTGGAACCTAAGTATACATATGATTTCAGAGTTGCCTGTAAAGTGTTTTGAAAAGCAGCACTTTTCTGACTTTCTTTGCAACGTCCTTTTCTTCTGCCAAAAGCTAACAGAAGTGTCCTCTGCTGGTAAGGATTTAAAATAATAGCTCATTCCTTTTCTCTCTCTTTTGCAATACTGTTTTTCTGTTTGGTTTCCTCCCATCATTCACATTTTAGTTTTCATTTATCTTTGAGGAACATTTACGTTTGGGAATGAGGAACATTTATGTTCCCCTGGAGAGGGCCTTCCTCAGGACAGCTCTGGGTGTTGCAGCTCTGCTAGAAAGACCTCTCTTACGTGGAGCTGATAACCCAGCCTTCATACCCCCTGGCAGCCTGCTGAGAAAATTAATCCTTTATCCCAAGGACTCTTGTTAATTTAATTATTTTTGTATTGTTGGAGTGCTTTTTTCAAAAGCTGACTTTCCGAAACATGTGCTATACTGCTGTGGTAACACACAAATGGCTTAATCATGCATCTGACAGTTCCTTCTGTGAAACGGGTTTTCTGCACCTAAGTGATCAGACAGACCACTTATTGATGCCAGAATTTGGATATCTAATCTCTTCTGACAACTGAAAACAGAATGAAACGCTGTTCACTGGGAGGCAAAGAGGAGAACAATGGCACTTGCCAGCCTTCATTCCCATCTCTGTGTGCCACACACGCTTCAGCCTTCGCCTGGCTTCAGTCCATGCTTCAGAGAGGTCACTCAAGACAATAGAAAACTGGCTCCAGGCAATGTAGGGCATTTGTAGTAATTGTTTTAAAGTACATATTTTACATAATATATTTACACAAAAGGAAAAAAAAACCCAATTTTGGCCCTTGAGTGACTGTCTTTAGGAAAAGCACTCATTTGGGAGCTGCACTCCTGCTCCCATTACTCTCCTGGAACATGAAGCCTCTTACGTTTGACCAGAAGGTCTGAACGCCAAACCATGGTGTGTCCTGGAACCACAAATACTGAGGAACTCTCTCTAGGTAGGTATAGTGCTCTAATGGCTTGGGCTCAAAAATATCTGTTTTGTACCCTTGACAGTGTCACTGCTTGACTGATGAACCTCAACGAGTTACTCACTACTTCTGAGGTTGTTTTCTTTTCTATTGCTTGACTCTGGAAGTGGTCTTGAAGGCCAGGATTTGTTTGCGTAGTGCTTGGCAAAGCAGTCCCAAACTCAGCTGAGGCCCGTAGATACTGATATAACACAAACAAGATACAGCCTGTTGCATATTCTTGGGAGACAGAGTTGTTATAACATTGTAAAATATTCTAAAGACATGTAAGATTTCCAAATGCACTAAAATGCATCTTAAGGAGGTATTTCTGTGATATTTCATCACAGAAAAAGGCTAACACATGTCACCCATTGAACCTTAGGATCGTTTGCTGATAGCAGAGGGATTGCCTGCTTGTATTTGATTCACTTGCCAAATTAAGAAAATCTTTTTTAAGGCAAATCAGCACAGGGTCTCATTTAAACACAAGCATAGTCCTGGAAGCCTTGTATCCTCTCTTCTGCTACCTCTGGGGTCCTCCTGAACTGGTGTAATTTCTCAGAGGAGGCTTTTTTAGAGATGTCTCCTCCCAAACACAAACACTGCTGTCCCTGCATGAGTAATGATGTGATCTAGGAAACACAAACGTCAGACACTAATTCAGGGCCAGGGCCTGCTGGTTCCTCGTGAGTACTACTATAGTCTGTGAGTAAAGGCATTGATGGCCATGGAGCCACTCAAGAATACGCTATTATTTACTGCAAACAGAGGTAGCAAGTTTGATCTCTGTGAGAGCAAAGTCGGTGGGAAGACACCAACAAGTGCGTAACGGTAACACCTGGAAAAGTAGGAAGGAAGACGTTCAGGTCTGGTTCTCGTTTATGTTCCCACAAGTCACAAGTGCTGTTAAGTCTAAAAGGCAAAAGAAAAGGACACAGTTTTCAGAAGTTCATTAAGTCAGTTCCTTTGCATATTCAGAAGAGAACAGACTGAGTTTAGCTGAAGCAATGTTTGGAATAATCCCACCACCACGCCTTTCAGCTAGCTGCTGAAGCCTCTCCCCGCCACCAGGATCAGTGGAGACATTGGCTCCTCCAGGCAGCAGAGGAGACAGGGACGCTAGAAGTACACCCCACTGAGTCCACATCCATCCATTAACGGCAAAACACATTGCTTATGGCCAGGCAGGAGACAGCTGGGTTTGGGCACTCTGACCTGCGGTGTCATTCCCAGAAGATGAGTTATCCTATTTGAACACTTCTCCTATCAGCTCCAGCATCAAGGGTGCCTGGCAGGTTGCTTTCCAGTCTACGTGCCTACTTTTCCCCAGTTTGCCATGTGAAATTACACGTAATATTGTCACAGCCACA